CGTTGGTGTGTTCGTTCGTTGGGTGGTTGGTGGGTATGTTGGTTGTTTGTTTGTTTGGTTGGTTGGTTTGTTAGTTGGTTAGTTGGTTGGTCGGTTGGCTGGTAGGTTGGTTGGTTAGTCGGTTGGGTGGTTGGGTGGTTGGGATGATGATTAATTCATTGGCGTGTTATTTGGTTGCTTCTTACTAATATGTTTGTTTACTTGGTTGCTTTGTTGGTTGTATTCTTGGTGGATTGACTGATTGATTGTGTGGTTGGTTCGTTGACTGGTTAGTTGATTGATTGGCTGGTTGGTTTCTTTGGTTGTCTGTTTGCTTATTTTGCTGCTTGCTTGCTTGACGGTTCAGTGTGGTGTCGGTCTGCTGGTGAAGTTTTGTTTTTCTTGGCGGGTTATAGTTTGTTAGTTGTTTGCTTGATTTGTTTGTTTAGTTTGTTAAGTATGTTTCTTTTTTCTTTTTTCCTTTTGATTAGTTTGTCTTTTTCTTTTCTTCTTTGGTTAACTTTGTGCTCATTTGCTTGTTTTGTTTTAATTATGTGTTTGTTTGTTTGTTTGTTTATGTGTTTGCATAATTTGTTTTAGAAAGGGGGGATGGAGACAATAACTTAAAAAAGGATGAAACAAAGTGAAAATGTGGGATTCTTAGCAGAAGAACCTGCCGCCTTTGAGGCATGGATAGCTGACCAGAAGACAACAGTAAGAGGCTCACCTGTAGAGAAGCGCTGTATGAACTCGTCATTGTCGATTATGTAATCCAGACTCTGCTGGGAATCCATCACGAGAGATATACACTCTACACATCCAACTTGAAGCAACACTCCGAAAAAACTGTCAGGCACTCGGGCTGAGCTGCTGCTGTTGCTGTTGCTACCGCTGCTGCTGCTGCTGTCGGTGCTGCTGTTATGATATCGAAAAGTGTGGCTGCTGCTGCTGAAAACTTCGTTTTCGTTATTATCGTCTTTCGCAGCGGTCGTCGGTGAAGAAATAGGAGCGCTTTTGCTTCCTTTTCTTTCGAGGTGAGGGTTTTGCAAGGAGCGAGGGGAGTGGGGGGAGGAGGAGGAGGAGTGTTGACGAGGTTTTTTCGACAGGTGTGCGCTGAGAAGATACCTATTGTAGTAGTTGCTCGTAGCTTCCAGTGTCTCAAAGAGAATCTCCAGACCATGGTGCTGTAAAAACACACGGAGCCATGAGGGGTTGCGGTGGCGCAGTTCTCGGGCCAGGGACGCGTACAGAGACACGCGGGGTTGCCTCAACAAAACAACCGCGTGTTCCGGCGAGAGGCACGACTCCGAACCCGCCGCGTGAACTTTGGTGTTGTGCAGCCAGCCAATGGCGAGGCGTTTCACAAGCTGCGTCCATCTCGCCGTGTCCCCGCCGCCAATCAGATGGTTCGTCTTTGCCCCAGCGCGGCCCGGGGAATGCGCAGGGGAAAAGTTGACATCCATGATTGTTTTTGAACTGTCTTCTTAGCGGTCAGCCCCAACACCTGTAACCAGAAAAAGGGTATAGATTTATTTGAGAGTTATATTCTCCTTGGAGCTAGTAATTACCCGATAAGGAGACGAGAAAAAAGTGGAATTTAGAGCAAAAACTGTAACAGGTGTTTCCCAATTCCTGTGTGCACAAAGCTATGTGCTTAAGTCCGAGTGTAATAATTGTCTGTTATGTAACAGGGAGAAGGAGGAGGAGGGGAATAGGGTGTGAAGAATGGAGACAATACAGAGAAGGCGAACACACTAACGGTCAGTTGTCAGCTAACGCAGTTGGTATGATGTTGGACCATGATGTAGATGACTCTTTTTCAAATCCCTCAACGGGACGCTTTCGTTTGGGGAGTTTTCAAAGCTCTCAGCTGTTTTGGTTCGGTCCTGTTAAAGTGGTTCCTGCTTACCAAAAAAATTAGTCTGACGATTAGGAGGTGTTACAATAATATGAATAATAATATGAAT